GGGGGTGAGTGTGAGTGTGAGTGTGTGTGTGTGTGTGTTTGTGTTTGCAGGTGAGTGTGAGTGTGTGTGTGTGTGTGTGTTTGCAGGTGATTATGATGATGTGATGTAATGCTGTGTGAAAGTACATCATCTATCTAATGATCTACTGTCTATAGGAAGTCCATTACAGAGAGATTATATGAACAAAGAGCATTAGAAACACACTGGAAACTCACAGTCACAGAGATTGCTGGGGCCTGTGCAGAAGAATCTGCTCATGTCACGGATTAGAAGAGGAAACACGGCCAAATGAAAAAGGGGATTACGCTCTCTGACGTGCATTTATTTATTTATTAAGTCTCTACTAACAGATTTTTGTGCTGAGCTTTCAGACAGTTAATGGTTTGGGATTGACAATAGTGCTTAATAATGGGTGATTGCCGGTGTTGCTTTTATTAACTTAAATTATTAAATACCATTTTCATTAATTAAAGTGAAGCTGAAATAAAATAAAATAAAAGTATTAGATGAAAAATTTAAGATTAAATAGAAATTATAAATGTGACATTGGCAACTAACTAAACATATAACAAATGTTAACTGTTTGGAATAAAAGCACAAACAAAGTTACAAAAGTTTAAACATTTAATAAAATAGAATTAAATCTAAATCATCACAATTTAAAGATTAAAATGAAAACTGAACATATAAAAAAATAAAATATATTAAATATTTAAAATATATTAAATATCTTTTTCATACAACAACAGACAGTGTATTATTAACTAAAATCATTAACTAAAGTAAATATCATTTTCATTAATTCATTTTCATCAATGAAAAACTTTAACTTGTTTTATATAAGTTAGTTACCAAGGAAATATTTCAAATGTTTTATTAAGTTTAAGTGTATAAATAAGTTTCATATGTCTGACAATGGCTAGTTTCCTGCTACGTTTCCTCATAGAGAATTTCCAGCTCTGTTTACAAGTCTCCATTTTCCATTTTAAAATTCCATACTTTTCCAGACTCAAATTTGCAAACCTCTCAGTAGATTTTCAGACCATATTTAACATAAATGCTTCATAGAGCATTATTTTCAGCTTTTGGTATATAGTAGTCATTTGTAAATATTTTTAATTTTCTCAGGTTTTTTTTTATTGATTTTCTCGAAGTGTTCCCTAAAATAAAAATAATAATAAAAATACAGACATTTACACGCACACAATAAACTTTTTTCTTGTGTGCATGCCCTCGAGAAACTATTCACATGTGCATGGGAATTTTTTGCATGCTTATGCATTACAATTGCTAGTTTTATATAGCCTATTTCCTTTGTGCATCACTATGAATAAAGTGAGAGCATGGATGCACATGAATTGAAATGAACAGAGATCTACTTGGCTTTCCTTATTGTATTACCTATCAGGCACCAAACTAGACGTAACTAGACTAGAACTAGGAACTAGACAAAACTCTGAAATGGCTCTGTAACGTCGCTATCACACGATAAGCACTAAACAATACTTGGCAGTGAATGGTTGTTTGAGACTGATTCTTATAGTGGGTGTAATTGGTAGCAGCTGTGTGTGATAAGTTTCAGGTGAGCTTGTGATTAGCGCAATGGAGCATGGGAAATGTAGTCCAGGGTGATGTGTAATAGTCTGTGTGGTGTGAGAGTCAATATAATGGGAGGGCGACCTCTGGTGGCAAGTGGATGGAAGTTCATGGACAAGATTCGTGACACATGCTCTGTGACGGCACAGAAACCATGACACAAAATGGGCTGATGACAAAATTTGCCAAGTTCAAGGGTCTATAAAAAAAGACTGGTACTGTAAAAAGTGTTTAGAATTTGGCCTTCATTAGGGCAGTATGCAATATTTCAAGGCCTTAGGTCTCTTTAATGCATACTTTGTGGCGGCCAAGACACACACAATAGGTGTCTCAGTGTGCATATGCCAAGTTTAAAGGTTTCTCATGCACACATAAAATCTGTATATTTTTTTATTTTTGCAAAGCTCCTTGAGGCTATGTCATACAGTGCTAAGAATTGTGACTCTGGAGCACAAAAGCAGTCATAAGCAGCACAGGTATATTTGTAGCAATAGCCAAAAATACATTGTATGGGTCAAAATGATCCATTTTTCTTTTATGCCAAAAATCATTAGGATATTAAGTAAAGATCATGTCCATGAAGATATTTTGTAAATGTCCTACCGTAAATACATCAAAACGTAATTTTTGATTAGTAATATGCATTCCTAAGAACTTCATTTGGACAACTTTAAAGATGATTTTCTCAATATTTCGATTTTTTGCACCCTCAGATTCCAGATTTTCAAATAGTTGTATCTCAGCCAAATATTGTCCTATCCTAACAAACGTATATGTATAAATCTCAATTTCAAAAAATGTATCCTTATGACTGGTTTTGTGGTCCAGGGTCACAATTGTGAGAAGAAACCCAAAATGCTTATAACCTGCATTTTGCATAATCAAAAAATGCATATTTGACAATCACTAAAGAATCACTGAACAGCTGCTACTTCTTGCACAATAAATTTATTTGCATTAAATACTTAATTTTCTATTATAAAAAAATAATAGGGGGAAAAGTCTGGAAACACAAATATTTTTCCATACTCTGCTTTCTGTTTTCCATACTTTTCCAGACCTGGAAAATACTTCAAAATCAAATTCCATACTTTTCCAGACTGCGTAGGAACCCTGTATGTAATCTATCTGGATTCCAGAGTTTCGGACCGAGTTCAGTCTGGTTCGTAAGTGAAGCGTGTGTGAACAGAACTGTGTGAATGAAGCCACAGATGACTGAGCCTGTCAGTTAAAGAAGAGCTTCCTTCATGCACGTGTGAATTTGTCTTTCACACCCTTCACGACTCAACTTCCTTGTTGACAAACGGTTCGAGCGAGAAATACAGAGCGCGCTGGCGTCTTCCTCCTGTGAAGAGGAAGTTGAGCTGGCCGTGAGCTGAGTCTGATCAGATGAGCGTGTGATTTTCTGAAGAGACTCTGGATTAAACGCGGCTCTCGCTGGATTACAGGAGATCTGTGGCTCCGTAAGTCAGCCTGATGCTTTTCATCTCCAAAGAGGAAGAAACGCAGAGTTTCACATCTGATATTCACACAGATTTGCATTGTCATATTTAACGCGTTCTCATTAGGAACAAAAGCACAAAGGCGTTTATTACTATGATTGTTTGAAAGTGAGTATCGGTGTTTTGAAATGATTTGTCGATATCGAGGGCTTTGGTGAACCGTTTTGCGTCCCACTTCTGGTCTTGATGAAAGCAAAGATAGAGGAGTTTTCAGTTTTTCTATTCTTCTCAAACAGTCGGTTTCAGTCTGACTGTTTCTTCCACTGAGTGTCGACTGAACTTTCTCAAATCAACCCGTTTACCTTCTCTTTCAGCTCTCGCCTGACCTCTCCTACATGACCCATGATGCCAATGGCTGGCAGCTGAGTCAGATATGTCTATCTATCTATCATAAATATGTTATGTCTATCTATCTATGTATCATAAATATGTTATGTCTATCTATCTATCTATCAAATTATATTAATTATTATATTATATGTGGTAAATTCATGTTCCAGTTTCACTTAATTCTACTATATTTCCAGCTAAAATAAATTAACTTTTGTTTTTTACAAAAACAATGTTTACACTAACAAAGTATTTAGTGGTATATTTATTAAGACAAAGTAATTACTTTAATAATTTAGTGTTTTTAAGCATTTTTACATTTATTCCAAACTATTACAGTTTTTCTCAGTCGCTTTGGTGCATTTCTCAAATCAGAAATGAAATTCTCAAAACTACTTGTACAACCTCCACATCATCTAGTCACTTGTACATCATAAAAGCAGTTTCTCATTATTTTGAACAAGTTGCGATTGCTTTGGTACATTCATGCAATTGATTATGCACTGTACATTTATCTGCAGTTTCCTACATTATCAGTTGCTAATTTCACGTTGCTCAAAATGTATTATATAGTTTTCTGTGCAATAGTCTTACCCCTCAAAACATCTAGTCTTTAGTTCATCGTATAAGTCATTAAATGCAAAATGGTTGAACTGGTTGTCATAAAGTGTCAAGCACATTTTTTACACATTATAATTAGACTTTTTTGTAAATTTAGCATGAATTGTGCAAGTGAATCTTGACTTTCACTAATGAAGAGAATTGATAAACCATTTCTCTGAAATAGCTCAAAGGTTCATCTCATGAATCTTCAGTTGGAAAGCATATACTGTATAGACAGAGGACAACACAAGAGTTACAAATTCTAACAATGAACTTTCTTATTTTTTTTATTTTCATCTTTGTGCCCATATTTCTTTTTGCTTTTCTATATCACAATGACACTGTAATGTTTTTTTGTTTTGTTTTTTTTTGGTCAGACCACTTGTAAAAGTGTAAGTGGAATTCTATCCAGTCTCTTTCAATCAATATCCCACATACCGTAATGAGTAAATTTGTACATTTTATAGTTTTTGCAAATATTAAGGATGATTTGAGAAATGCACCAAAGTGACTGAGAAAAACTGTAACTATAAGAATGTGGTAACTATTTTCAGATTTGGTGTATATTTTTTGTTTGTGCTGTTTATTTTAATAAACAGTTTCCATTTCCATTTAGACCATCAGTCATCAAAGTTCCTAATGCTCAAAGACCTTTAATTTCACTTTGTGTTTTGCTAAGATCCGCCTCACTCGCAGATCATTCGAGTCATTCAAAGATTGATTGAACAGAAAGAGGTGAAATGTAAAAACGAAGGATGCATTGCTTCTGTCTTTGCGTTTCCTCGTGTCTGTGCTGTTGTTTTTGGGCGGTGAGCGTGTGATCCCGGACTAATCCGCAGCATATGGAGGAACCGGGGTTCAGTCTGTCCGTTAAGCTGCTTTTGACCACTGCTGCTGTAACTGAGTCTGCTAATTGAGTTGAGTGGTTGGAGGATAAACAAATTAAACCCAACATTATTGAGATGAAGTGAGGCGGATGTAATGCGACTGGACTGAATCTAATGTGATTGGACTGAACTGAGTGAAGCTAACCTGATATCACGTCCCATGCAGAGCATGCAGCACATGGCGTCGTCTGAAGCCCTTAGCTCCGCCTCTGGTGTGTTAGGCGACGCCCATCACAGAAACCCCGCCTTAGCAGGGGGCGTGGCACACGTCAGCCACTCCTACTCCATGTTCCTGCCCTCACAGGTGCAGAGAGCTTCTGCAAACGGCAAGGTGAGAGGAACTGCATATCAGGACTTTTACACGCATACACATACATCTATTCCCATTCATCTCAATGCCACATATTTCATGTGTGCTGGTCTTTTTAATAGCCTATTTTAATTTAATTTTTAATTTTTTTAATAAAATTAACATGCATGCAAAAAAAAAAGAATAGAAAGTAATTTCATCAGAAAACCAGCTAAACGTTGAAACAGAAAACACGTTATTCAAAAATAGCAGAGGAAAATACAGTAGTATTTTTAATTGTTATTTACTTCTGATCCATTTGTTTCATTGCAATGATTATTTAAAGGGACAGCAACATAGAAGAAAGGCTGTAATGGTAACAGAGGATGAGAAAAGGGTCATGGGAAACTAAATTATGATGTACATTATCACATATGTACACAGTATTACTGCAGATTATGTCGTCTTGATCATATTGTTGTATTTCATATCGTCTACAGTCAGATTACAGGCTGGGGGTGGAACCTCCTTCATCTGACAGCTCACCAGACACTGAAGGAGTCACACCGGTGAGAAACACACAAACATATACAGAGCTAACATACTGCTGAAGAAACACTGTAAAATAAATACATTAATAAATGCATAAATAATAAGTACATTTTTAAAATACATATTAAATATATACTTAGAGTTTTATATATACACACATGCACATTTAATTTGATTTTGAATATATATTTAATATAAATAGATCTATTAATTAAATCTCAATTTAAAAAAAATTGACCCTTATGACTGGTTTTGTGGTCCAGGGTCACATATATATATATATATCTGCTCTATTCAGCAGGGTAAATTCATGTTTAAACCGTTTAATCCTAACTAATTCTGATGATGTCATTCTAAACATGTTTACACCAAAAACTGAACACAAAGAATAGAAAGTTCAAAAGAACAGCATTTATTTCAAATAGAAATCTTTTGGAACTTTATAAAACAGTGTTGGGGAAAGTTATTTTTTTTAAAGTAAAGCATTACAATATTGCGTTACTCCCTAAAAAAGTAACTAATTATGCTACTTAGTTACTTTTTATGGAAAGTAATGCGTTACATTACTTTTGCGATGCTTTTTCTTCAGAAATAAAAAACTGTCAGTCAATACATGGGAAACAAAGTAACTGCTGTTACTTATTTAAAGAAGTAACTCGGATATTTTCTTGCTTATTAAAAAGTAATGCATTACTTTACTAGTTACTTGAAAAAGCAATCTGATTACGTAACTTGCGTTACTTGTAATGCGTTATAAACGATTTTACTGTCACTTCTGATCAATTTAATGCATCCTTGATGAATAAAAGTATTAATTTCTGTCAATTTTGCAGGATAAGGAGAATCCTCTAGATAATGTGCTGCTGTATTCTCTGAGGAGAGCCGGATCTGTGGAGATGCTGGATCAGAGCGGAGACGAGGACGAGAATCGCGGTGGAAATAAGGCTTCGTGTAAGCTGTGTTTCGTACCTTCACGGACTCAGTGCAGTGTTGTCAGGCGGATCTTTTTCACATCTTTTCTCCACAGTGCCTCGCTCCACGTCTAACCTGGAGAGCTCGGAGCACAAGCGTGTGAAGAGCCGCTTGAAGAAGCTGATTCTCCGGAGGCCTCCGCTGCAGACGCTGCAGGAGAAAGGGCTCATTAAAGGTAAACACTAAAGGCCCCCTCACACCAAGGAGGATAACTATAAAGATATTTGTATTCTAAACTGAAAAGAATAGCAAGAGTACCACAGCTATTACGATAACGGCAGGGAGGAACCAATCACTGGAATCACTTTCAGAGCGATTCTCGAGCAAAATCATTATACTTATCTTTATACAGTTATCATTCTTGGTGTGAAAGGGCCTTAAAAGATACTTAGACTTGTCAAAACTACTGTAAATGACTGCCATTATGCTTCGCTGTTTACACATCTTCACATCACAGATGCCACGTCTCTTTATTTCTACCCTGTTTGTTGCTGAAATAAAAACATTAGTGTGTGTGTGTGTGT